AGAGACTGTAGATAGTTTTTATTGTCTATAATCTCGAGCAGGAGAAAAATTTAGAAGCATCACTATTTATTTCATAAGCCTAGTATAACCCCCATATCAAAGTTTGTCCAATAAGTGTTTTAGAAAAGTACACACCAAACTCATGAATATTGATTTTTAAATTGTAAATAAATTATAAGAAGATCAAATCCAGGTATGAGTTAACAGAACTAGGCAAAGTCAAAGGTACATTAAGTAAATCTGTTGTTGAACTTCATTAATTTGTTACTTAATACTTTAAGGAGAAAAATCCTGTGTCCCTCTTGATAGATGCCAAAAAGGCATTAGATAAGATTCAATATTTATTCCTGATTTAATAACAAAGCAAATTAAAACTCTCTAGCCAACTTCAAATAGATAGACCTTAACATCATAAAGAATATGAAGAACCAATAGCAAATACCTAACAGTGATATACCAGATGCATTCCCATTAAAATCAGAAACAAGGTAAAGTTGCCAATAATATTTGTCATTCTGGTTAAACAAAGCAAAAGCAGGCATGAGTCTTGGTCCAGAGACTGAACTCTGTAAGAAGTAAGACTTTCCGATGTTTTCTGCTTTTTAAAATAATTCCATTGAATTTCAGTCGTGAGCCACCATTCTACCAGGGGATTGAGTGGTCCCCTTCCTACCCGGTTTGCCATCTTGGTTGGCGGAGGGGAATGTCACAGTGTGGAAGCCGCCTTCAGGGAGCGAAGGCATCTGGCCCTTGTGTGTCCACACTGAAATTTGCTGAGATGTACTTTGTCTTGTCTAGACTTCAGGTGTTCGTCCATACAGGTAGCTGTGGTGGTGGCCCTTGTTCTCAGCTGCACATTTTCGTAAAGGTCTCTGTCTCTTGCCTTCTTCTGCACCCCATTTGGGCACTTGGGAGCATTAGGTGGCACTTGTGCCTACTTGGTGGGAGAGTCCAAAGTTCTTCACTGCCTTTGGGCTCCTGGACACACATCAAATTATTCTACTGCTCCCAGCCCCATACTGGAGTGTGTAGGGACTGTGTGGGCTCTCTCCAATCCAGCTGCCCAGCTCTGCCTGTAGCTTTTTCGTTTCTCAAAGAAATGGTAGGATCTTGCTCCTTCCCAGGCTCTACTTAGAAAAAGGGCGTGGGTCCCTTCCGATTTCAATTTCCGGGTCTGTCAAGGATATCTCTTGTTCTCCTGCTGGCAGCTTTCCCCTTCCATTCCTGCCCTCCATTTATGGCAATGCTTGGGCTTTGGGGGAGGGGGACAGGAAGCAGGGACACATTAAACTTTTGAACCCACCTGCTTCCCTCTAATTCTCTTTTCTCTGAATCCAGAGCCATTTAGTTAATCTAAAGAAGCACTCTTTTTTTTTGAGGAAGATTAGCCCTGAGCTAACATCTGCCGCCAATCATCCTCTTTTTGCTGAGGAAGACTGGCCCTGAACTAACATTCGTGCCCATCTTCCTCTACTTTATATGTGGGATGCCTGCCACAGCATGGCTTGACAAGTGGTGCATAGGTCCGCACCCAGATCCCAACGGGCGAGCCCCAGGCCACCAAAGTGGAATGTGTGCACTAACCGCTGCACCACTGGCCGGCCCCAGAAACACTTTTCAGTTTGTGGTGGAGGACCACTTTTGTTTTATTTTCAATTGTTGTGAATTATATTTTTGGTCCATACACTGTTCAATAAGCTGAGTCTGCCAATCATGCATTTGGATATTGTGGCAACATCAGATTGCTATAAAAGTTTCTACATGATTGCTCTCAGTATCTGTACTTAACTTATCACGGGCCAGTAACAGCTAATGGACCAGCAGTGGTCCAGAGGCCACATTAACTAACTTGGTATAGAGGCTCGGTCACCTCCTCATCTGCTCTTCTAAATCTGATAAAGACATTTGAAATGAAAAATTCCAAGAACAAGACTTCTTTTTCCTGTGCATTCTGCTGTGTCGTTCTTTCCCTAAGCCAGTAGGTGTAGAATGTTGAGAAAAGTGGTGATGAGGTCACAGAAAATAGTGGAAATGAAAATTGGAACAGTTAACACAGCAAGTTCCACTCTTGCTGCAAAAATGAGAAGTATAAAATTGTTTTTTTATTTTATTTATTTATTTATTTTTGAGGAAGATTAGCCCTGAGCTAACTACTGCCAATCCTCCTCTTTTTGCTGAGGCAGACTGGCCCTGAGCGAACATCCGTGTGCATCTTCCTCTACTTTATATGTGGAACGCCTACCACAGCATGGCTTTTGCCAAGCGGTGCCACATCCGCACCCGGGATCCAAACTGGCGAACCCCGGGCCGCTGAGAAGCCGAACATGCAAACTTAACCGCTGCACCACCGGGCCAACCCCTAAAATTGTTTTTTTAAAAAAAGAAAAAGAGAACAAGAGACTAATCATAATTTGTAAATAGATTGCAACCTACAAAAACCAAGAGAATTTTTTTTTAAGATTGGCACCTGAGCTAACAACTGTTGCCAATCCTTTTTTTCCCTCCTTCTTCTTCTCCTGAAAGGCCCCCCAGTACATAGTTGTATATTCTAGTTGTGAGTGCCTCTGGTTGTGCCATGTGGGACGCCGCCTCAGCATGGCCTGATGAGCGGTACCATGTCCATGCCCAGGATCCGAACCCACGAAACCCTGGACTGCCAAAGCAGAGCGCACAAACTTAGCCACTTGGCCACAGGGCCAGCCCCTCAAGAGAATTTTTATTAAGAGAATTCAGTAGGATGGATGGTTACAAAGAATATAAAAATCAGGAGTGCTTCTATACTAGAATAACATTTAAAAGCAATAAAATAAGGGTCTCATTCACGATGATTATAAAACAAAATACTTGGAGATCAAATAAATAGGAAGTTACTGAATATTTGAAGAAAATCATAAAATCTTACTGAGATACTTAAAAGAGGATTTTATTCAACTAGTAAGTCTATATTGTAAAGAGATGTAAATTCGTCTGCAAATGCAATCCCATTCTAGTCAAAATCACATAGGAGGGGTGAGGAGGACTTGACAAAGTGATTCTCAGATGCACCTTGAAATTAAAGGTATGATAATAGCCAGAAAAAATTTCAAAGGAGAATCTTCAGGGGGTACTTACTTTCTTTGACATTAAGTGGCGTTATAAAGCTGCAGAAATTAAAACAGGGTAATTCTGCACAGACATCAAAAGGGAAATCAATGGAACAGGAAGACTATCCAAAAAGATGCCCAAATATCAATAAAAACTGGGTATATGATGAATGGGTAATTAAAATCACAAGAGAGATGATGAGTTGTTCAATAAATTGTGTTAGAATAGCTGATTAGCAAATGTGCCCAGTTGTCCTGGGTTCCTGTTTGGATTGTACTTACTCATCCCTTCAGGCTGTGTGTCACCACGTGACTTGCCTTGGCCATTGAAATGTGAGTTGGGGTGATATGTGCTACTTATGAAAAGAAGCTTTAAGGGCCAGTGCACAGTTTCCCTTGTTCTCCCCTCCGCCTTGGTCCCGGAGTGAGGATATTGCACAGCAGAGCCCCCAGCTGACCCATAATGAAGGTATAGTGTGAGAAAGAAACAGACCTTTGTTGTTTAAGCCACTGGATTTGGAAGTTTCTGTTATGTAGCATAACCCAGCCTATCCTGACTGAAACAATCTCTGTCTTACACTTCACACCTGTCAGAGGAAAAACAGTTCACACCAGTGTATTAGAAATGTGAACCATGGGGCCGGCCCCGTGGCTGAGTGGTTAAGTTCTCGAGCTCTGCTTTGGTGGCCCAGGATTTCGCCAGTTCGAGTCCTGGGCGCAGACCTGGCATCGCTCATCAGGCCATGCCAAGGCAGCATCCTGCATGCCACAACTAGAAGGACGCACAACTAAAAATACATAGCTATGTACCAGGGAGGATTTGGGAGAAAAAGGAAAAATAAAATCTTAAAAAAAAAAAGAAACGTGAATCATTAATATTTTGTGGGAGTATCTGTGCTTTCAAAGGGGCTGTTAGGGAGAAGGCATTGCTTATCCCGGAGAATAAAGTGCTGAATGCAGGACCAGCTATCTAATTTGTGGGACCCAGTGCGAAATGAAAATGCAGGGTCTCTTGTTTAAAAATTATTAACATTTCAAGACGATGATGGCAGAGCATTAAACCACGCATGGGGTCTTTATAAGCGTGAGTCCCTGTGCAGGCTTACACAGCTTGCACGACCATGAAGCTGGGTCTGGCCATAATTGGTGTGTCTGCATCCTCCCTTTGCCCCTGGCTCAATTTCCTCACTGCTCTGCCTCGGGTTATACTTCCACAGGGCAGTGAGGTTGATGTCTGTGGTTCATTCGTGAAGTCTTTACCCAGATGGCACCTCAGCGAGGCTAACCCCCATCCCCCATGCTTCTTAGCTTGATTTATTTTTCTCCTTAATATTTGAACTGCCATCCATCATGGTATATACATTTACTTGTTTATCTTATTTAGGTGTATCTCCTCTACTAGAATGTAACCCATGAGCGCACAGATTTCTGTCTGTTTTGGTCACTATTGTATCTTCAACACCTAGGACAGAACATGTCATACAGCGACTGCTCAGTAAACATTTGTTGAAAGAATGAATAAATGAAGAATATCGATAAGAGACTGTCTAACAGGCACCCACACATTGGTAGATCCATCCGTTTAACGATATTTAATGGTTGCCTCTCAAGTCACTGCATCGTGTCATCCCTGGGGAGGTACAATAACAACCGGGCCACGGCACTGCCTGTCCACTGATGGAGTTGGGTGCTTGGGCCGTTGCTGGAAATCCCGACAGCAATTGTGAGACGTAATCTCACAGGATGTCATGAGGCTGGCCCCATGTAGGAGAAAGGTTTTTTTAATCACTTTTGCTGGGGTGTAATTTACATACCATAAAACGCACTTATTTGAACTGTGTAGCCTGATGCACTTAGATAAATGTGTATACTCACATTCTGCCTGATTTTTTTCTTTTTCTCCCCAAATCCCCCCAGTACATAGTTGTACATTTTAGCCGTGGGTCCTTCTAGTTGTGGCATGTGGGACACTGCCTCAACACGGCCTGATGAACAGTGCCATGTCCGCGCCCAGGATCCGAATCGGCGAAACCCTGGGCCACTGAAGCGGAGCGCATGAACTTAACTGCTCGGCCACGGGGCGGGCCCCATCGCAGCCATTTTTAAGTGTACGGTTCAGTAGTGGTAAGTGTATTCACGTCGTTATGCAGCAGATCTCTAAGATCTTTTCTTCTTGCAAGACTGAAACTCTCTACCCATTAAACACAAGTTCCCCCTCCCCCAGGGGAAAAGTTTCCTTTTAATTCACCCTTATAAATGGAGCATTCAGAATGTGTAAACAACTCCTTAAAATAATCTCAAAATAGGGCCACTTCCGGAAACAGTCAATGAATCATTCAGGACATTCAAATTTAAAAAAATAATCCAACTCAACTTGGCTAAACAGTAAAAAGGAATTTTGGGGCTCCTGTGACAGAATAGTCTTATCCAGGGCTCGAATGACATGACCAGGCCCAGCTTCTCTTCACATCTCAGCTCTGTCTCCGGGTGTGGTCTCCCTTCCCAGGCAGGCAGGAGTAGCACCTGCCAACCCTCTCTTCCTGGGCCTTCCAAGAAGGAGGCTCTTCCTAGCAACCCAAGCAGATGCCTCCTCAAGTCCCTACTGGATCAGTTTGTGGTTCCTGCCCATGATGGAACTAATCTCTATGGCCAGAGGAATGGAGTCTGTTGATTGTGTTTAACCAGTTAAGGTCCATGTGGGAGTTCCGGTAGGGATTGATCCCCACCCGCCCCGCACACTGCATGGCTGAGAATGGGAGAGTGACGATTTAACCAAGGAAAATTGGATGCCGGTGATAAAGGGGGAATGGATGCTGAGGCGATATTGTGATGTCATCATTGCTGTGTATTTAATTATATTTGTCAAGCATTCAGCGTTAAGTGAGTTCCAGTTAAAAAAATGAGCATCTTGATGAACCTTTGTGGGTGTGGATCAGGTTGTTCCTGAATCAAGGATTCTGGTACAAGTGGTTTATGAAGGAAGTGCTCCCAGGGGAAATCTGCAAGGGGATGGGGTACAGGAAGCAGGACAGAGAAGGGGAGGAAGCCCAGCAAGGATGCCTTTGTGGTGATGTTCCAGCCCCAGCCTGATCCCACCAGAGCTGAGTGTAAATTACAGCCCTAGCAAAGGAACTGGGCTGTTGTACTCCCACCCTAGTCTTTGGCTACTGGCTGTGCAGAATGGGGAACTTAAAACTCCCAGCCAATCAGTAAGGGAGGCTCGTGTGCTCAAGGGCAGTCTTCTGAAGATTGCTGGTAGCAGCCATTCATAGCAAAGCTGGGAGGAGATGGGTGCACAGAGCTGGTCAAAGGTGGGCCTTCAACATAGTCCTCTGCAGGGTGGGCGTAAGCAGGATCTGCTGTGAAAGCTGGTGCCACATGGGCAGACCCAAGGGACCTGAGAGTGGGGCAGGGGACAAGTGTTGCACCTTGAGGAGAGTTGCTACCAGACATGCCACACAAAGGAGTAAGCTGCAGGCAGTTATGGCTCGATGAACACCCCACCACGAGCCTAGAAAAATGTAGTTGTGGAAAGGAGAAGGGCAAAATGCAGTGGTTAGGGAGACAGCCCAAGACTGCGGGGGACAAGGACGCCCTTTCCCAGTTTCCCTCACCTTGGTGCATCAACCCCCACCAGCCCAAACCTCAGGCTGGCCTTTGGTTTGCCCATCTCTATGTTGGCAGCCTGCTTGCCTGGGCACTGAGCTACTCTTCACCCAGGCCCCAGGCTGCCTGCCCAGTATGGTCACTGGTGCCAGACCTCAGCCTGAGTCTGGCTCCAGCTCTGTCCCTCCAGCAGTGCCCTGACAGCACCCTGGAACCTGCAGCCTGAGCCACCGAAGCCAAAGCCCAGGGTAGGAAGCACAAACGCCCTCCAGGCTGGCTCCATCTAGGGCTCTGCCTCTGTGTGTGCAACAGTAACTGTCAGTGCCGTGTCCAGATCCCCTGGCAGCCTTCTCACAGGTTCTGTGTGCCCAACCCTGGGGGGTTTGCCGTTCTTTCCCACGCCTGTGACTTTCATGAGAGGACTCCCCTGGAGTCCTGGAGCTGTTCTGCAAGCACTGGAATTTTACATTCCCCAGGGCAGCCCTTAACCAGTGAGTGAGAGTATGTATGGGAGAAGGAAAGTCCAGCTCTCATGCCCAGAGGCAGGATAACCCTGGGGTAAAATCACTATGGAGCTTCCCAAGGTGAGGCCCAGAACTTCGCCTGAAATGCCACCATAGCTCAGCTTCCTCCCTCCCCTTCCTCTTCCCTCCCTCCACTTCTATTTCCCCTGGAAGCCTTTCCTCAATAATCTCTAGCACGGGAATCTTCATTTCAGAGTCTGTTTCTAGGGAATGCGACCTAAGTTACTAGGCTGGTTGGCCCCAGTTACTCAGGCTGTCAGTCTCCACAGGGAGGCTGGAACTAGATGCTTAGGAAGCTCCAAGCTCCTGTTCTTACAGCCTTGCACTAGCAAAGAAAAAGGCTCTTCCCTGCCCTCACGAGGTAGAAAAATCCCAGAGAGTTCTGCTCGGCCAACGTGGATGGCCTGCAAACTCCCCAAGAACTACATGGTTAGGAAGTGGGGAAGCATTTCCCACATGGTAGGGGTACTGTTCTGGTCAGACAAAACAATAAATGACGACTGCACTTCAGAGGATATAGGTTTGGCTGCATGTGACAGAGACCAAAAACAATACCACCTTAAACAAGATAGAAATAATTTTTTCTCTCATATAAAGGTCTGAGGTTGTATAGCATCTCAGCTCTGTGAGGTTACCAAAGGTTCTGGCTCCTCCTATCCTCTGGCTCTGCCGTTCTTGCTCTGTGTGGCTTTTAACTGCATGATTCAATATGGCTCCCGACCCCTCTGCTTTCCAGTCACTGTGGTGGAGGAAGAAGGAAAGAAGAGGGAGAGAGCCTACTCCTTTTCTTTATGAACACAACCCACAACCTACAACCTTCTCTTGTCTCATGTCTCATTGGCCAGCGCTTAGTCACATGACCACATCTAGCTGCAAGGGAGGCTGGGCAGATCTGACTTTATTCTCAGCAGCCATGTGCCCAACTAAAAACTTACTATTCTGGAAGAAGGGGAGAAGAAATATTGGGAAACAACTGGTCTTCCAAGACTGCCTCCTTCCAAATCCCTCCATTTATGGACGTATGGCAAAAAAACTACTGAGATTTCAAAAAATCGATTGGCAGGCCACAGTGAAAAGGGAACCACTTAAAGTAATGTTTCTGTCACATCCTACAAAACGCTTCCTCCAAGGGATGCTAATAGGTGTGGCAGGAAATCAGCGTTCTACGATCAAATACATTTGGGAAATGCTGGGCTAAACACTAGGTTGTTTTTGCTTTGTTTTTTAAAAATTACAGGACTTCTCAGAACTGTAAATGTGCTCATGTACACTATGACACTCCTGGGGGGGCACAGATTGCATTCAAACTTACTGACATCTCCAGGAGGGGTATTTTCAGGAAACTAGTTAGAAAATATTCTCTTCAACGAGGGTCATCTTCTCCTCTAGCTCTCTCATTGGCATTTTTCCATTGTAACTCCTACATTTGCAAAGATATCTACTATACATTTGGTCATTTTTCAGTTCATTTCTACTAAAACTTTTGTTGTAGGCCCCAAGCTGGGTCAGCTTTGGAGAGGTGGAGAGACCTGTGTACACACAGTCACAAAACCAGGGAGAAACCAGTGTCCAGCTCTGCAGGGTGCTGACTAGACTGATTTGACTGAAGTCATGTAGCTGGAAAGTTGCTTAGTGTCAGATGATGACAGACTAGGAAAAGAAGTTTGACTACCCAGCAGGCACTGGGGAGTCCTTCAAGGTTTTTGAGCAGGGAAGCGATAGAATTAAATTTGTATTTTAGCAAGACTATTGCACAGTACATATGATAAAATGGAGATGGAGAGAGGACATACAAATCAGTGAAAGTCACTTTAGTAGCCAACCAAGTCTGGGTAGTACAGAGGCCCAAACGTTGCTCTGCTGAATCTCTTTTAGCAGATTTGGCAGGTTAGAAGGGACTTTGAAGACAGGTGGAAGCACAACTCATCAGGTAGAGCCAGGGCGCTTTAAGAACATCCTCAGACAACAAGCTTCTATCTTCTAGAATTAAGGTGTCTTCACACATTAGGTGTCGCAGTTTGACACATCTCGATACTTTTTCTCGTGCTGTTTTTTAGCCTTAGCTCCCATTCACAGCTATGTCTCTGTGGGTACCCCTAGATTATTGCCATCCCTGACCCTGATTCCTGGACCTTCAAAAAGGTTAAGCTGCCCTTGAGGTTAAGCTGCCCTTGAGAGTATCGCAGAGCTCCACAAAAATGGGTGGTCCACTCTTTGACATTGAACTTAAAAGGATGTTTTTGAAGACCATGTCTTCTCAGAAAAGGGTAACAAAAGAAAAAATAAACAAGTGTGGGGCCAGCCTGGTGGGGCAGCGGTTAAGTTCTCACATTCCACTTCGGCAGCCTGGGGTTCGTGGGTTTGGATCCCGGGTGCGGACATGGCACCGCTTGGCAAGCCATGCTGTGGTAGGCGTCCCACATATAAAGTAGAGGAAGATGGGCACGGATGTTAGCTCAGGGCCAGTCTTCCTCAGCAAAAAGAGGAGGATTGACAGCAGATGTTAGCTCAGGGCTAATCTTCCTCAAAAGGAAAAATAAACAAGTGGGACTTCATCAGACTAAAGAGCTTCTGCAAAGCAGAAGAAACTAGGGTCAAAACAAAAAGACAACCCACCAACTGGGAGAAAATATTTGCAAATCATGTATCTGACAAGGGGTTAATCTCCATAATATATAAGGAATTCACACAAGTGAACAACAAAAAAACAAACAGCCCGATCAAAAAATGGGCAGAGGATATGAGCTGACATTTTTCCAAAGAAGATATACAGATGGGCAAGAAACAGATGAAAAGATGTTCAACATCATTAATCATCAGGGAAATGCAAATCAAAACTACACTAAGATACCACCTTATGCCTGTTAAAATGGCTATAATCACTAAGACTAGAAATAACAAATGTTGGAGAGGGTGTGGAGAAAAGGGAAGCCTCATACACTGCTGGTGGGAATGCAAACTGGTGCAGCCACTGTGGAAAACAGTGTGGAGATT